TGTGAACCTCACAGAAGAGATGAAAGACTTGTCCTCAGATGGGTCTGCTAAGTGTTGCAGAGTGGAGGCAAATTGTGCTGCTCCACTGATTTTTAAGAAATTGCTGCATTTGTGAAGAACTGCTTGTATTCTAACAACTATTCACCTTCAGCCACAAATCGTAAGTGATTTCATAAATTGTGCGTACATACAAAACCCTCTTTCATGTGAAGAACATTAACTTATTTTCTGGATTTGTGTTAGGAGAGTCATCTCTTTTGCCTAAAGAGGAGTCAAAGATGACAATACTTCATGCTTTAATAATTTTACATCTGGAAAGTCTTTCCATGTAGGCCAACTGTTCTGTTCAAGTGGCAGTGTTGTGTGAATAAAGGTACAGTGATCAAGTATAAAACCATCATTTCAAATCTCTCTCTGCTTAACTTCCTTGATGGATGTAAGCACACTGCTTTTCAGCAAGAATGAAGATTTGTTTCCATTTCTGTTCAAACACTTCCGTATCTTTCTACAACAGTTATTCTGATCTCAAAGTGATAGCATTTTGCATTCAAGAAATTGTAGTTAAAAAGAAAATGGCATGGGATTTCAAAATGCGAGGTTTTCCCTGTTTCTTTACAAATGCAAAGTTAAAAGCAATCTTGACAAGGTGTTTTTTTGTTTGGTTGGTTTTGTTTTGTTTTTGTTTTTGCTTTTAAGTGCATATGTATGGATTACCTGTACTTAAATTTTGTGGTATGTTCACTTTTTTGAAAATGCTTTTGAAGTATTGAGTTCTGCACTGAAACACTGAATGGTTCATAACTATGACATGTGTACTACTGTAAATAGAAGACAATTAGGCTGCTAGATTCATTTGTCTTGCAATTCTGTGAAAGCCTGTTTGTATATATAGTATGGGAAGATTTGGGGGTGACTCGGGTTTTCCACTAGATGTACTGATTTAGATGAACTGCTGCAATTACATTGTTTTAGAACACACAGCATGTTATTTCAGAGTATGTCTTAAAAAGAACAGTTTTATAAACTATGATACTTGTGCTCATGTGGATTAATTTGACAGAAAGCCACAATGGAAAACATAATGCATTCCTGCACTGTTTTTAGCTGCTTTGTGAAACAAAAGGTGTATAAATGTAATTTCTTTGACCAGTTTTTCTGTACTGGCTGCCAAGGACACTGTCTGAAAATCTAGTCTGGTGACTGATCTTCTGGTAAATTGTTTAGATGGGAGACCTGCAAAGTATTAAACATGAGAAGAGAGAGCTTGTTCCATAGATTTTCTCTTTGTTGATCTTAATAAGTTTCTCTTCGTTACTTGTTTGAGTTTTAATCTGCTGCATGCAAAGTTTGGGCTTGAAGTTCGCATGGCAAAGAACCTGGCTGGTAGCTTGGGTTGCATGCTCCTGCATCGAGGATTCAAGGTCAAGTTCTGTAAGCTGGCTGGAGGTGCAGGATTCTCTGAAGGAGCTCTTTCTGTGCTTGTACTTCAGGATTTTTCAAAGCTCTATTTTGCATGGATTTAGATTTGTTTTTCTTTCGTAGTAAAACCTATGTGAAGGCTGAACATTTTTTTTCTCTAAACTGGAGTAGTTGCAGTCTTTTGTTATATGTGGCAATCAGATGTTTAAACCGCCAACAGAAAAAGAAATCTAGATGTCTTGAGTGGTTAAACAGACAAACGTACTGCGAAACAGAAGTGAAATACAAAAATGTGTGTGGAAGCTGTTCCTGAACCTAAATTGGGATGAACAGTAGTGGTCACTGTTTCACCATGTGGACATGGGCTGCAATGAAAAACATAACATTTCTTTGAAAGATTCTCTTCAAGTAGCCTTTCTTTCCCCTAAAAAAAATAAAAATCTGTTGTGTCAACTTTATAACTCCTTTGATCTGCTATGATATAAAAGCATCTGTAAGTACTTTAGTACTTTAGGTTGGTACTTCAAGTACTAAGCCTGCCTTCCCTTAGAAACAGCAATGGTTTGTCACAGAAATAAGGTTATCATTCATCTTTTAAGATTTTGAGTCAATAAATACACTGAGTTTCTACACTGGAAGACTGCTGAAGTATGAAACCTCAGTTCAGTCTCTTGTGTTTGATCAGTTGATATTACAGGGGAAGTTTGGTAGTCTGTGTTCATCTGTTCTTACTGTCTTCCCTTAAGCTTTTTATTGCCTCTTCTCTGCTCACTCACTTGAAAGACAAATCTAGGGCACAGAGGACCCCATAGTTTTCAGAACCGCGTAGTTGAACTTCATGGGAAAGAGGTATGGTTCTTTCATTACTTCTTTCTACTTTATCCTTGTATGGAGAAGGAAAATGATGTGAGGTCTGCATCCTCTCAGCTAAGACTCCAGTTTCATGATTTGCTTTCTGGCAGCACGTCGGGTTATCAGTCTCAGACAGATCTTAGGAAGAAGATCAAAAGCAAGAAAAAATGCTTGTGTTTCAGTTATTTTATCCTTCCTTCCTGATGTGCCAAACCACCATCATCATTAGTGAAATGTTTTTAGTGAAGTGTCAAAAATTTACTCATCTGCTTTTTTGCTGGAAAATGTAGGTACTGCTCATATTCCATCAGTATTTTCATCATGTCAGTTACACAAGGCGCTTCCATGACTGCAGAATCTGCTGTGTTCAAGGGAAGCCATCCCATCTGAATCACAGGTGAAGAAATAATGAAATCAGTTGGAGTCGTCTTAGTACTCGTGAACTGTTCTTCATTTATTAAACTTGAGCTCCTAAATATGAACACAGTAGTCTGTAACCACATGGGTAGGAGACACTGACAACAAGTAACCCACAGGACACTGAACTGCAGGCACAGCCAAGTGGTGAAGCTGTATGTGTATCTGCCATACTCAGTAAGACCCATGATCAGATGGTATCTCTTCCTGTGCAAGTTTTTAGTGATTTAGCTATAGTGTTCCACAATGTAGTAAGTTGATGAATTCATGTCTTGAACCCCAATATCCTTGTTGGTCTTCCAAATCTTTAGCTCTTTTATCAGTCTACCCTATCTACCTAGATTCTGAGGCTAGAAATTGTGCAGAATGCTAAGAGTTGGAGTGTTTGAATATTTTTAATATTGGTCATGTATCTCTCTTGCCCCAGGTATGCTTAGGACGTTTTTTGGTATTTTGGGGTTCTACAGCACTCAACAGCACAATGGTTTGTCTGGTAGTTATGGGGAGATTAACTCTTCAAGTACAGTAGGCAGGAATGGAAGTACCCATTTGTAATACAATTAGGTTATGTTCTTCATCATCTTCACACCACAATTTCTCTGCAATAGCATTGTCTTTTCTTAATGATGTCTTCTAAAGCTTTTGAGTTTAAAAATGTATTTAATTTTAAGGTTTCCTTTTTCATCCATTCCTGTTTCATCAGCAGAGTTCTATCTTTCAATGATCCACAGTTGCCTGATGTGACAATAAATTTCCTCTCTTCAGTATTAGTGATTATTTGAAAATAGCTTCCAACCTCCACTTCTAAACTTTTTCAGCATGTGCTGCTATGTGAAGTTGCATATATTTTGATTTTCTTCAGTGAAACATGAATAGCAAGAGCAGCCCATCAAAGAAATTGTGCCAGAGCTTATACGCTTATTAGGTTTTCATAAAAGGGGAACTCGCACTGTGACAGAGAAACAAGAAGACTAGGCAAAGACATTCAGCAGTCCAATGAAAAACGATACCAGAGTACTGTGGGGAAAGTCAATACAGTACCATCTCTACCTTGCTTAGTTATTGTTGCCTGCCAGGATTGCCACGTCTAATAGGAGGCCTCTTCTGATGACTGACCTTGGTGGCTGTGGTAGAGTCCATTTGCCAGGAACTTGTAGAGCAGTTTTTATAGGTGCATTTTATAGACCTCTGGGTTCAAAAATTCTTCCTGCCTTTCTAGATGTGTTTTCACACGCACACACGCTTTAGAGTTTCATGTAAAGTATTAATACCCAAGAGTGTTATCCTGCAGGCACGTGGTGCAGCTGCTACAAGATGACTGGAGGAGGCTTCGGGGAAAAAAATAACACAGGATTCCTGATCAACTGTTGCTATTTCTCTCCTCTTTCTTCTCTGCTGCTGAGGACCTTCCAGCTCCTCAGCTCTTGTAAAGATACCGAGCCTTTACACTCTGGTGTTCAGAAGGAAGAGAAAAAATGGAAAGGAGGTGGGAAATATTTAATTTTAAAAAACAAATGAACAAACTCACAACTGTATCTGCTGTTAGGAAAAAACAAAATTCCCTTAAAAAAAACAACTAATGTGATAAGGTAGAACCCACTTGCTCTTAGCTGCAATATCCTTATTTGCTCATACTGCTCTTCTGTCATATACTGTTGTATTATTGATGGTAGTGGCTGCAAGGTGTCTGGGAAAGAGATGGGAGTGGAAAAAACAATCCACTAATGTACTGCATCCCAGGTTCATTAGCATGTTTTACTCTAATGCAGCAGGTATATCTGCCAAATGAAAAATTTGGCCCACTGCTCTGAATTAAAAGCTGAGTAACTTAGCTTCTGCATCCTGACTGTGAATTAGAAAAATGTAAGTGACAGCAAAGTTAATTGCAGCAGTCTTAACACTACTGCTATTAAGTAAGAACACGGTGCTGTAGAAAGCCATGTGCTGAGCAACAGATACAAGCTGCTTTCTCTTTTTTCTCTCACTTCCTAGGCTCCGTCCTCCTCTGCTTTTATTTTGTTCTTTACTCCTTTCTGGTCTTAAGAACTGAAAGTGCTCATTGAAAATGTTATGTTTGAAATCCATATTCATATCAAGTTCTAATTTAGTAACAGCTGCCTTTAAAATGACTGTCAAAAACATCTTTTGTGAGCTGTGCTTGCTAAGCATTTTCTAGTACTGATGTCATTAGCATAAAAGAAGGCTGATTATCCATTTGATTGGTTCCCTGCCAAATGAAAAAGTAGTATTAGATTTTTTTATAGAAATTATATGTATCTGTATCTTAGTTATAATTTGTCTTTACTTCTCAAAGCAGAACAGGCCTCAATGCACATCATGCCATAAAAGGTAAATTTTATAACTTTTAGCAGGTAGCCAATTGCTCCCTTCTAGGAGCATTTGATTTATTTCAGCCATCAGTCAGAGGCTGCGTTTATTTCACAATCATGTGGAACAGTCCTGTGTGTTTAACCTTTCTTCAGCAATGGCAGATCTTATGGTATATAGCAGATAATTCAACATTAGGCTGTTCAACCCTTATTTGCTCATACAAAATTCAGAGGGCAAGCAATAATGCATGTAACAGGTGTATTTAAATACTAATGGATTTTATATGAAAAGTAGCATTACAGTTGTTGGCAGTCAGGAACAAGAGAAACAGCGCATCACTTCATATATTCCAAGAGGTCATGAGAGTCTAACTACAACTGGCCCCTGGTCACATCGCTCAGCTCTGTGAGGAGGATCAAAGTGGCTGCACACTGGTTTGTGGCTGTTCATACAGCAGAGACAACTAGATGCATTCCTTAAGATATGGGAGCAGAGGGAAACAACCACAAGACCAGGACAAACTGACCTACTTCTTTCAGTCCTGTTGTTGGTGAACTCATGTATTGTATTGTGTAACTTTTGTTCTAACATCAGGAGTTTCTCTCTCTAGAAGCGTTTAAGTGAAGCAGTGTTACTCCTGCTTCTCACTGCAAATCAGTGAAATTTGTTTTGTTGTCAGTGTCATCTTTAAGAAAAAAAAAAAAAAGCCATGAAGATGAACTTCATATTGCTTGCATACTTGTGCAAAACTGACCTGAGATAGACTGGATTTTTTGCCTCTTTTGGCTTAAAACTTGCTTATAGAGTTCATAATTATGATCTGTGTTTTACAAAAAGAGGAGATAAAGTGTGCAGCAGAGCCTGTTTCTTGTTTAGCTCTTAATTGCTTTGACTACAGTCATTGTCCTTCAGTTTATATGTGATGTACCTGAGCTAAAACAATTAACCAGAGTCACCAGCAACAATTTTCTAATATTTGAATCTGAAAGCCAAAACGTGCACCAAGTTGTAATCTATACTGAGTTAAGCAAACTAAGAGAGGACCTTGGTTGGCCTTTGAAAACAAAGTTCTCCTGAGGCTAATAATATACCTGATTGACTAGAGGTCTAATTTGCATGATATGTGTTTTGAAGGGAGAACTGTGTTTTACTTTATTTCCTGTCTTTGTTTCCCATGAAGTGTCTAATTTTAGCACATGCTGTACCCGTATTTTTGCCATGGAAGAAATGCTTTGGTAGATAATTTTTGCTGGTGTGTATACACAACCTAAAGACAGCAGCCTTTTAATTGATGCAGTTGAGTGCAGTCCAGATAATAACTGCTATTTCAACTAGTCTTCTCATCCTCTTTTAGCTACTGTTTGGGAATGTAAAGGTGATTTTTTTTATAACCTGAATATAAATGCCTGTATCTGAAAACTATTGATAGCACATGTCTCTGGAACTTATTCTAGAAATACCATGGCATTTCACAGATGTAGGCTCTTTATCCCACTCCTCTTAAATTCAGTTCTAAAAATAATGTTGGCTAGACAGAGCAAAACTCCTGCTGGTTTCTATGAAAGAAGAAAGATTTCCAGGAACACAGCAGGATCAAGAGGAAAGAGCTAAATCTCAGAAGCCATCAGAGAGCTTAGAATATCCTGTTACTTGAATGCAGAACACAAGCTGTACTGTGACTTTATCAGCCTCCAAAATGTAATTCTTTTGATATAAAGTACATAATCTGCTTAACATTGTAGAGCAACACTGTGTCTATATTTAGAATACAAAACAGGGTATGGGGAATAATTTACTGTTGCTGTAGAGCTAGATAAATCATAGATGTTCTGATAGTAGCATAGGCACGACTGCATTTGACTCCAGTGAATAAGATGCTTTTAAAAAATCTTGAGCACAGGGTTTTGAAATGCAACATCTTGAAGTACTGTATGCTCTTCTCCATCAAACTGTGTTCATCCTCATTGTATTGGAAGGGGGTTGGAAGACTCACGGGCTGTATGCTTGTTTATTTGCACAAAGCCTTCCCTGTCCTTGTCCTTGCCTTCCAAATAGTCACTGGTCCAAAAACTTACAAAACGTAAGATATTTCCTCTTCCTTTTTAAGCATAAGCTCTTCAGTTGTGCCAACATTAACTTTTCTGCAAGTCTTCTCTTTCACTGTCTGGTTTCCATCTCAGATACCATTGTTTAGCTACTGTACCCCTGAAGAATTTTGCAGCCCTTATTGATATTACAGTCATGTAAAAAATAATTATGCTTTACAAAGCCAACATTCTCATATTTTCATATTATAGTTGAATAAGAGAATCAAAGAGCTCTTCGGAGCTAAAGACCATTTTCTTCCTTTGCAGATAAAATTTTTGTGCGTGTGCAAACTAGATGAATGCAGGAATAAATAGGTATAAGTTCTAAAACTCTTCTGTTACTCTGTGTTAGTCAGGCACTGCAGCTGACTCTTTTTAGCTGAGCAAATAGAGCATTTTTTTGTTCCATCACAGGTGTGAGTTGGGGAGGTGTGAGAGGCCCAGATGAAGCCATGCCAGGGTTGCGTTCAGCTGGACAGCAGCTTCTGGAGAACTGTCACGAGCTGACAGAAGGAAGTATTCGTTGCGTGGTGGTTGCTACTGATACTGACATAGCCTGAAAAGCTTTAGAAATAAAGGTTATGCCACATATGTCCCTTTTTAGAGGGTTATACTTGTCTGATATGGTGGGTTGACTGTAGTCAGCAGCTAAGTGCCCACACAGCCACTCACTCACACACCTCTGCCCTGCCTGTAGTGGGATGAGAGAGAGCAGGAGGAGCAAATGCGAGAAAACTCATAGATCAAAATTCATACAGCTTAGTAGGTAAAGGAAAGAGGGGAAAAAAAATACAAGCAAAGCAAAGGAAGTCGTTCACCACCTCCCACAGGCAGTCTGAAGCCCAGCCTGTCTCCAAACAGCATCCACCTTGTAAGCTAGAAAGCCCACCCTCTTCTTCCTCCCCCCATTTTTATTGGTGAGCATAGCATTAACTAAATCAAATCTAAAACGCAGCACCATACTATGAAAAGAGTTAACTCCATCCTAGCCAGGTCCAATGCATTCATACTTACACAAAATATTCACATTCCTGGGGGGAATCCTTATAGAAAGGGTTCTTTTTCTCACAGCCTACACAATCCATTGTACTTAATGAGCCTTCCACCTACTCTCTGCTACCCCATAGTCTGTTAAGGGAGCAGTAATTTAGTAACTACTCTAAAAGTTCAAACAGAATAATTGTCATCAAGTGAAAGAGAAGCTCTCTGGAGAATGGTTATTATTTTTCCCAGAAAAATAATTAAGAAAAGCAGGAAAAAAATGTATTCTGCTAGATTGAAAAATTAACTTGTTGGTGAGATGGGAGTGCTTTTGTGGAGCTTGCATTGATTACACAGCCTGTCAAATGGTAGTGGATATTTTGTTCAGTAGAATCAGTACTCTATGAGATTTGAAAGTCTTTCAGAGAGTCGTGTGGGTGTGTGAAAAGTGAAGGAACAAGAATTGTTGTTAAAGGAGAAATGAGCTAAAATGAGTCTGAGGAGAAATTTTATTTTTGAATGCTCAGAAGAAAAATCCCTTGGTATTCAGTAGTTTGAGAACAACAGAATGCTTAGGAAAGAGAAAGTGGGCACAAGTTCTTCCAGTGGAGAATGCAGTGATCTGGTTGAAAAAAAGCATTTTTGTATAAAGCAGTAAATGAAGTTTAGTGATTAAAATTCCCCCCCTCCTCCCCCCCCCCCCGCACACTTTTTCCTTTCTGCAGTAATGTTTTTCTTTCAAATCTGTGCTCTTTTGAAGGCTCTGTAAAAATAAATGGACATTTGAAACACAGAAAGATATGCAGTTACTGACACACACACTGCACTTTTACTTAGCCTGGTGGTGTTGTTTATTGGCTGCTCCTCCATGGTGATGAAATGGTTCAAAGGCAGATTTTTTTTTGTTTTGTTTTGTTTTTTATTTTTTATTTTTCCTCCAGAAATTCAGTTTCAGAAGTTTCAGAAAGATTGATAGACAGGCATACGGGTAAAGTGTGAAGTTAGATGAAATAAAGATGCAAATAAGGATCAACTCAGGAATGTTAGCTGGCTGGTACATGGTGCATGGTACATGGTAAATCTGCTTGTGATAAACTTATAGGCAGACATGCAAATGAAATTGTTTAGTACAAGAGTCCAAAAGACTATTACACAAGATTGCGATAGATTACTTCAAATGATGCAGTTCTTTTGCTCGTGTTAAAACAGCTGAACCAAAAGTTGGGTATCCATTGATGTTTCAGTTTTGTTTTCCTAATAGGCTGCAGATCGTCTGAGTCATACATGTACTTCAAATTGATCCCAAAATCATTACATTTTGGCAGTGGAGTGTTTCATATCTCATTTCTTTTATTCCGTATAATTGTGCATCTTTGATAGTTATGTGCCTTAATATGCCTCGAGCACATTGGCACGAGGTTCTAACACTTCATTATCTTCTAGTATTGGAGAAGATAAGGCAGCTGTTGGAACTTCTGGCAAAGTGTATGCAGAAGGAATTTTACTAATTGCTGTAAATATAACAATATTATTTTTACTGTCATTCTGTTGTCATAATTTCTTACCTACTTAATTTAGTATAGGGTTGGGTTTTTTTCATTTTTTAAGAAGAGTTTTGTCAGCAGTTAAGTATGGTGGTCTGTAAGATTGTGGTAATCTTGATGTGAACTGAGTAAAGCAGGAAACTGGCCAGTGAAACTGAAATCCATAGGCATAAATAAATTATACACATGCATGTCTTAAAAAGAGAAATCTGTGCTCAGGGAAAGATGGTTCTGCAGTCTTAAGCAACAGGAAAATGCCTTCAAAAGAAAATTGTACTGCTGAGGATAAGGGTCATATTTAAGAGGTGTCAACACTGCTGCATTCTCTGTGTTGTCCTGAGCACAGCCTCAGATGTGCCTCTGCACCGTGCTGCTCTTACACACCAGGGCCTGCCTGCTCCTGCATCCCTGGTGAAATGGAGAAGGGAGCCCAGGGCCTCCCTGTGCACAGCAACCCCGAGTGCATCAGGGATGGCTCAGCCTCACTCCTTGGGTTCATCGCTGCTGAGCAGCTTGTTCCAGCAGTTGGAGAGCTAGCAGGAGAAAGCAACCTTCTTGGCTGCCAGGATAATGTGTGCTGTTCTTTCTCTAAGACGAATCTTGCTGAGGTCAGAAGGTTGAGTTCAAGTGTTTCAAGGGCTGGATCCAGCCCCAGCCTTCTCAGCCCACGCTGCTGTAAAACCACGTTCTGTTTCAGAATTTCATGGCAGAACATGTGCAGCAGAATTGCTCTCCACCCCCTCTCTTCCCACCTGCCCAGCAGAACTAGTGCTTTGAAACCAGATTATTCCCAAGTGGATTTTTTCTTTTTTATCTTTGTGACTGTACTGAATTAGTTTCACCAAGCTTATGCTTTAGAGAAATCTGCATTTTCTCATCATCTGGATTTTTTTGCAAGCTTGAGTTATCAAGCAAGGCAATAGAGTAGTGCAAGTGTTTAACATTAATGAAGATAATGAACAGCAGCGTTGGTTCTGTCCTGATGCATGCAATCATTTATGAAGCTGGCTTCTTCAGTCTTTTCTCCAGGTGCTCATACAGGGCCCTGAGAGAAAGAAGCAATAAATACTTAAAACACTCCCAGTGCTTTGATGAATATTTAACATTGTAGAATGTGTAGATAATATGCAAACTTGAGAGTCAGAAAATTTTGATAATCAGAGTGTTGGTCACTAGGTTGTAGCTCAGGGGTATAGATAGAAATGAATGAAAGTGTTTTCCCAACTGTCTGCCTATGTTTCAGAAAGTACTGAGGGTGCAAATGAAAAAGATCTGCTAGAGCATATCTGGTTCTCTTCTCTCTCTTTGCATTCCGGAAAGCTGTGACAGACCCAGTGATAGAGGGCATTGTCTTGGCTGGACTATGCTGAGAGTGAGACAGCAGGAAGAATAGCTGTGAAGATGGCTGCCCAATGGCAATGTGGTTATGGTACTTTCTACTTCACTTGCTGCTGGGGACTACGCTGGTGGGTCTGAGGTGTGCTATGAGAACATCGCCCAGGCCTGGGGAAATGTCCAGCTGCTGTGTTTCTTTCCAGCTTTTCCATCCTAAAAGCAAGAATATGGCTCTGAAAACAAGTCTGTTAAGTCCATGACAGAGAAATGGAGGAAATACCCAACTGAAGAAAGCGATTTCTTCTCTCTTGAGGTTCTGAGAGGAGTTAGCCAATTTCCATCCTTTTTACTCCTCTTTCACTTCCAGTCAGAGAATGCAGTAGCCATGATGGTGGTTTGCTAAAAGATGCACACAATTCCCACCTCTGCAGTTTCTGACTGAGAGATCTGTATCTGCGTCATCTGGAAATGCATTGAAGTCCTCTATTTAATAGCCTTCAGAGCACAGGTGATGCCTCCTATGGAAATAAATAACCTCTCAAGTATGTCACCTAATACCTGATAGCAGAGGAAAGCAATGTTTTTATTGTTGCTGCTGAATTTTGCAGCAGCTGGCACAGAATTGGCCATGTTATGCACATAGGCCAGAAGGACAGCCCTGTCTCCAAGAAGGGCTCTCCATGCTGATCTTGGTGTTGTGCTCTTTCTGGAAGATAAATTTGTTGTCTTTATCAACAGTACTTGTCCATCAGAAACTACTGTGAAATGCTCCGAAAAGTTAGCCTTAAAATTATAATTCCACTAGGACTTAGTTGGAACCCAATCCTCCTTCTGCAGATTTTAGTCCTTTCTAAACGAAATGTGATGTGTCACCCATCCAAAAACAGCTAACATTAAAATGCAGAGTTGGCTGTGTAGAAGACACTTGGAAGCAACGTAGGGGTGAGAAATATATTATGACTGTGCTTTAACATTAGATAAAAAAGTAAACTGAGTTTTCAAATAAACCCCTTACAGTCAAAACCAACAAATGATTCAGTAACGAAACAAAACTGATAGGATCATTTACGAAAATATAGTTGTGCTCCTGATATCAGAAAAACCAACATAGGACACAGAATGTGAGCACTCATGAAAGTTAACTTTGTGGGAAGACCTGCTGGGCTTTTCCTATGATCCTAGTTTTCTGTGGATACCATTTTTGAAGAGATCAATGAGGTTTCCATTCAGGTCAGAAAGTCACTGGAAAAGGTGGTGAAATTATTTAACAGCTCTCTTAATTAGGAAAATAGATTCTCTGCAACTTATTTATATAAGATATTCCACCTCGCAGCATAGAGGCGTAGAGTAGATGAAAATCATTCCTTTCTATGGGAGTAGAGAACTTCACATGATCATACTAGAATTTGTTTTTCTCAAAAATAGAGACTTAGGTTGCTTATGCTATCTTCCTTTTCCAGAATTGCAAATACTCATCAGTAGTGATTGGTATGCGTTAACAAACTGGAAAGGCACAAGTTTATCTGCAATTTCATTTAGAGAAACAAAGCCAAAGGGAAATGGGAAAAAATGCTTCTTGTTTACCAGCAGTGCATAGTCTTGCTCAGAGGTCCAGGTCACAGAGAGGTTCTGATACACTTGCTGAGCATCCCTGGGGACAAGCAAAGTGGAAAAGCAGACTGTTAGTGTCTCAGACTGTATGCTGCAGAGACTGTCAGACCAGAGGACTAAGTGAGCAGCTAACTTGTGGGGCTACCAAGAAACAGGATTTAGCTGTAGTGAGGACTTTTTAAAATACTAACTTGGAAATGAATACAGCAGGAGGCATTATCCAGCATATTTTTAAATGCTTTAAGATTTTGATAATTTAAGGGAGAGAAATAGTTACAGGATTCTTTTCTCTAAATCCAAGCAGAAAATACTCATTGAGGATGTCCAGGCAGAAGATAAAATTCATGAGAATGGTCTAGGATATGTTTGTATATACAAAGTTCTTAAGATGAGAATGTGAAATAATAGCAGTAGATTTTGAAGGAGTGCGAATTTGCTTTTTCATGTAGGAAAGATTTGTAGGAAAGAAGTGTAGCAAGAGATCAATTCAAATAGGAGAATGAAGTCTGAAGAAAGTAAAAACTATCAGGTAACAGAGGGCAAACTCAGAAGTGTAGCAGAGACACTAAAAGGTCATTACAAGAAAACTTAGGTGCAAGATGAAATGCAGCTAGCAAGAATCACAAATAATATGAAATGTTTGCATAAGGCTATTTTTTAACAATTCATTGTCAAAATGGAAAGGCATATTGATTAGAGTTGCATAAGGGATTGTCCTTTTTTCCTCTACTGTTCAGTATTCCATTAGCAATTTAGATAATGGGAAGATTTTTCAAATTCCTCCCAACTCCACAGTCCAAAGAGGTGATTTATGGCTGGCCATACTCTTATCCAATTCCGTGAAGATTTGAAGTGTTCCAAGCTCACATTTACTTCCAGGTTTACTCGAGTCAGTAGTGAAGAATAAAAATGCAACTGCAAACAGGCCCACATCCCCTTGGTTTTCATTAATAGTGATGTTTAGAGAAAATAGAGACTGCTACTTTAGGATGCCTGAAAGGCATTCATGTACCCACATGTATAGCAGCAGGTCATTTTAAAAGCACTGCTCTACTTGCATCTGTGCTTTGCGTTCCCTTACAACCTCTCCAGCAAGCTCATATGGATTGTGACAGTTGCTACCACTGTCTGGCAACTTATGATAATGGCTTTCCAAAAGAAATAACTGAAGTAAATCCGTTCAGGCTTTGCATAAGAGGGACAGCTTTCGAGCTGTTCAAAAACTTGGCCTTTGTTCTGATGGTCTTTACCTCAACACAAGACTTAATCAAGACAGTTAAAATATGTAACTGAAAGAAAGCTAAATACTTTTTAATTTTAATCTCAGGACTTAAAATATCATTGGTCTGTCAGAGCACTTTTAATATTCCTGTTGCATCTTGAAGTAAATTTTACTTTCCTGACTCTCACTTTTGTGCTTTTTAGTGGTCCTTCATTAGCGGATCCGTACTTTTCCATAATACTGGTTTCTTTTAAAGCAAGCTCTTCCTCCTGATGTTTGCTTGACACTCTTAAGAAATCCTAGTGTACACCAAAGAGCTATTTTCAGTAGGACAGTCTCAAAAAGCTTCAAAATTCAAGTCTGTATGCATATTGTATACCACACCCTAAATTCTACGGTAGGAACATCATGCTGGCTGAGCTATTACATTCAAAGTCTGTGACAAAGCATATATAACACTCCAGTCCTGAAAGAAATGTGGTCATCTAGGGTCCTGTGGAAGCATTTGCAAGTTCAGCTGTGGCATTACTCTGATTCAGCTGTGTAACTTCCTGTCCTGAAACAAGGAAGGACAGAAGGACACTCACTGCCTTTGGTCTTGCTGCCCCATTTGCAGTTGCACAGCGTTTCTGGGCACTGTGTTGCAGGAGGTTTCTGATTAATTCATACCTTATACATAATCATTATACATTAAGTCTTGTGAGTCTAGTTAAAGAATCTCCATTTATTCGTCTTCTCTGTATCTCCTTTAGGAAGTGTGATAAGTGTCTAAACTTCTGATTGTCATCCTGAATTCTCTAAGATTCAGCATAATCAGAGAAGCCACTAAGCTGGCCTTCAATCCTCCAAAACATTCAGATTTAAAATACACATATTAAGTATATCTATTCTGTTGGTTTTCTGTGAGTTACTGGGTTCCTTTCAGAGAAATATGTATGCTGAATAAGAAAACAAGGAAGTAGCAATTGTTTTCTCTACTTACCAGAGGTGGTTACCAAAATTAACAAGGTTTATTTTTATGGCTCCATTCTCTGTTTCCCTTTTGACCTCGTTCTACTATATATATATATATGTATATATATAGTACATGATATATATATATATCACGTTAACAAAGATGAACACCTTGAAAGAATTTGTCTGAAACAGTCCTCTACTGTAATAGTGGGAGAGATTACATCTAGAGCTCTGCTTGCTTGATTTCTCCTGCAAGGATCATCTGTGTCACAGAAGAAGTACAGCAGAAGACCTGTTTTCTTCCCAGTTGAACAGTTACATTTAAGCACATACAGCTAACTTCAGGACACTTCGACATATCCTGTTTCTGTGAAAGATAGGGGAACCAGCTAAATAACGGGGAAGCTCAAGTAGAATGGAGCTCTCTATTTGGGCACAAAAGACAAAGATGAGTTTTGTATTGCTGGGAGCAGACATAACTTAGTGAAGACCTAGGCAATATTCTCAGACGAGAGGAAAAAAAAAAGCAAGCAAAGGGAGGCACCTGATGCATTGTCTAATGGATGCATTTCTGCAGGACTGGCATTCATGAGATGTCTTTGTAACAGAGCAGCAGGGAAGAAGGCATTCTCGCTTCTCCAGAAATAATAGTTTCTTCATTTTTTTCCCCTTTCACCCTTTGGTATGAATAATGGAATCGCAGAATGGTTTGGGTTGGAAGGAACCTTGAAAGATCATTTAGTTCCATACCCCCTGTTCTGGGCAGGGTTGCCAGCTACTAGATTGAGCTACCCAAGACCGCATCCAGCCTGGCCTTGAACATCTCTAGGTTATTCATACTGATGGTATTAATTTCATAATAAACTTAAAACCATGCTATCCCAATGGCTGTGGCTGCCAGGCTAACAGAATACTGGGAACAAACTTCTTGAGAATCTGGTACAAGATTATGAGAATCAGTGTCTGCAGCATGTGGAAAGATATCACCAGTTATCTTTCTTGACTTCTCTGTCTCTTCATCTACTTGAAATTAATTTTGCAGACTGAGTAATGTATGGAGCTTACTGTCTCCATATACTCTTCTGGATTAATGTGTTCAAACCCACAGAGTTAGTATTTTGTGCATCAAAATTCCTGAATAATTACTGAGGTCTCGACTGTGCCTGCACAGGATAGGTTTGTATTTTATTCTCACAGGAACTGGGGTCCCACTCAGTTCTTTGAAAAGAAAAGTCATCTTTCAAGATTCCATTTTTTTCTGAAAATCAGCACTTAACAGGTGTGTTTTGTAAGTTTTGTAACAGAAATGTCTGTGGTTGCCTTGTTAGTCTGCTCTTAGTGGCTATGGATGAGCCCAAGTTTCTACCTCTTCTACCTGAAGAACTACAGTGATAACATTTTAGAGAACCAATTGTTCCGACCTCTTGATCCGAATTTTGAATATAATAGCTTTCTAGAGGAAAAAGAAACAGTGCTCTGCCTCATTTGGGCATTGAGGTGAAAATGCTAACATGCTTTACAGTTCTGTTTCTGGTTTTTTAGTGCATATGTGGCTTTTGGTGCCAACCATTAGGATTCAGAAGCCTTTTGTAATGAGCTCTCCAGAGGTTTCTTGTACTTTGTGCACCCTCTAGCTATATAGTAAAGTCCTATAGACTTTCTGTTTTTCTGCTACTGATTTTTCTCATTACCGATGAGTGCTCTGGAGTTTGGAATAAAGTAGGGAAATGTCTGGATAGCCCTGTGCAGTGCTGAGCAAAGATGATTTAGCTTGAATCTCTCCTTGGATATCGCTTCATGGCAGTAGCTTGTGTCCTTTACACACATTCCTTCTGTCTGTACTACTGCATTAGTTGTGAATGTATTATGTTTCGGTCTCCTATTTACAGTTAGTAAAACGTTGAAGATTTTTTGACAGAACCAAAGGAAAAAAATGTGGCTGTTCCTCTCAGAATAGTTGTTTCTTTGTTGACCTTATGTGGCTTTATTTAGGAATGATATCACCAAAAACAAAACAAAACAAAAAGCAAAACACAACAAAAAACTCTACTCTGTTTTGATTTGTAGATTAAAACAACAGATGATTTCTCCAGCCACGAGGAGGAAGAGGAATATGAGGATGCTTACATGCTTATGGGAGGTATGGAAGCTGAACCAGCCATAAGTAAGTCATAATGAGGCATCTTTCTTAGTAGCAAATCATGTGCTGCATTGGGTGAGATTATTGACAAACACAGGGACCAAATTATTTTAAGACTTATAACTTCCATGTTATTTGTACTTCCGGAGAGGACAGATGTCCTAGGAGATGGGGAAATGCAAGCAAGGGATGACAAAATCATCCCTCTGTGAGAGAATTGCAGTGCAAACAGTGTTCCTGGTAATGTCTGCAAATTTCTGGTCTCTGCTTCACATCTAGAAAACAGCTGAATTCTCCAGGTTCTCAGAGAACCGTTATGTAAGAGAAGACACTGCTTACAGGTGTGGGCAACTCCTGTGTGGAGGCACAGGTAGTAGGCATTTTGCATCTTGATCTTCATGAACCTAAACACAGATTGATCATGAGTTTGTTGCTAATCTGTGTGATCATATATTTCCCTTGAAAAGTGCAGAGTTATTTATTTGCATTTACTGATGACAGTCTCTTGTAGTTAGATATATTTTTGCATTGTCATGGATTTATGAAACTAAACTTTATCTTGTTTTTGTCTTATCGGTTTGTTGGCAGTTGTATTTTTCCAACTGTCTCATATTCTATGTATAAATGCAATTTCTTATTTGCTTTGTTTAAGCCTGCTGTTTTGGCATGTCTAGGTAATATAATTGACACTAAAAATGTAGCTTAGAAATCTGTTAGCCCT